TTGCTGAACTCTACACTAGCTTTTTTGAAGTTAAGAATAAAGAGAAAATGCATTAGCAAATGTATTTTGTAAACTCTATGCCAACTTCTTTGTATCCTGATTTGAATAATCTTGGGTTAAGAAGAGTCTTGAATCAAAAAGTAACATATATGCTTCACATTTCTTTTTTTTTTATTAATTTATTTTGTTCGATATTCTAATACTGTATTTTTGTTTTTAGATTCAAAAGTTGAAATATCTCGGGATAGTATAATGTATCGAATTTACTAGTTTCCTACCACTTCTGATTGGTTCTACTTAATTATTCACATATCAGAGTATCTTTATTATTAATCAATTTTATAGTTCTCTGATAGTGAAATGGTGGAGCACTCTGATTTATCTAGTTCAGTTCTTAGAAAATACTGTAAGGAATATTTTGGCATTTAGAATATATCAAATTATAGGTTCAGTATAATATACCACATTCTAAACAATCTTCATCTGATTTTATCTAATTTTGATTTTTCACATTTTTTCACATATGAACACTTAAACAACTATGATGTTTAGGATAAGTAGTTTCATAATCAGTTCATTCTTTTGAAATTTGCAAAGCTATAAAAATGCAAGTTTTTAAATTACTAATAATTTAAAACTTTTTAACACTGGAAATACAGAAATACAAGCACCTTGTTTTTATAAAATTGAATAATTGTTCAAGCTTTACATGCTACAACCAGCTCCATGACTTCTTATACCAGTACTAGAAAAATACGGAGATTTTTAAATTAAAAATTTTCTTAATCATTAGTTGTACAAGTTTCCTATACTTTGTTTTTTGAAATCACCTGATTTTATATCATTATTACCTATCCTGTACTTTTTTATTATATATATTCTGATATTTTATATATTCTGACAATTATTATTGTTACATAGTTTTTTTTTTGATAGTTGAAAATCAATTTTTTTTTATTATTGTAATAAAACTCCAATAAACCCAAAGTCGCAATATAAAAAAAGTTGAATAAAACAAGTATATAATAAATTTATTTAATTCTTTTATTATAATTCGCTTGTTTTAAATATTAAATTTTTTTATTAGTAGAGCCTAGTCAATATCAACAATGCAAATGAGCATACGAATTGCCTTGTGCCTTGGCTTTTTTGATTTCGTTGCATGAAGGTTCTGGATTGTTAGAATGTAAAACTAAAAATTCACAAACAATATGGTATGCAGATAGTAAATTAGCAAAAGATCGTCTTCCATTGTATAATAGTTTTTTTTCTGGATTAGTTAAAATTCAAACACATTTAGTAGATTTTTCTTTATGTGAAAAACATTATAACCAACTTATTGTATCTGATTTTTTACGACAAGTTCTTTTGAATGCGTTTTATTCGACATTATCTAAGAATAAACAAAAGCGACAAGCAGATCATCTTGATTTTGAAAATAAATTGATTGAAAAGCAGGCTCGCACAGAGCATGCTTATGAAATAGAAGTTGAAAAAATACTTGTGAAGTTGGTATTCAAACTAATGAGATTGGTTTACAAGCTAAGAAAATTCGTGAGATTGGTATACAAGTATTTGATAATATGTCACATACCCTTGAAAATCATGTTTATCTGCTTCAAGCACAATTAAATATAAAAATAAGCAAGATAGAAAATCTACAAAAACAATTAGAATATGCTTATGATTATGTTGTAGAGAGTTGAGATCGAATTCAGAAAATAAGTAAAATCAATAAAGAGCTATCTGAACAAAATAATGCATTAAAAAGTAAATAGAAAAATTGTTACAATAATCAAAAAAAAAGAATTGATTTGATAATTCAAATTGCAAATTATAAATGCCAAAACATTTATAATGATATCGAATCACTAATTTTAAATAAAGAACAGTTTTCACTTAATAATTTATTAGAATTTGTGCCTAATAATTAGTTAGCTAATCATAATCCGGTCATAGTTAATTTTATTAATATTCTCACTTGTAACGAAAATAATAACCATATTAATCATACTACAAATGAAAAAACCTTCAAAAAATCATTGCAATTGATGCAATATATGGATCATGATATAAAAATTATATATCAGAAATAAATCTAGCCATATTAGAGATCAAATATTCACTATCACGATCTAAAACAATTGTTGATATCAATAATCACGTAGTTAGTTCTGGAAGTTATACTAAATTTGTTAATTGGCTAGAATTGTTAGCAATTGAAAATGAACCCTTACCTAAAGGACTTTTATTCTTGGCTTTTGATAATAAACAACGAGATCAATTTAACTATCTTGATCGCGGATATAACACAGTTATTTATCATATAGTTACGAGTTTTGTTGTATTAAACATGAACAAAAATGATCCAACTCAATTTGTAAATGCACCCTGGCATACCGACTTGTTAACTGATAAAGAATATGAAGAGTTATATTATCTTACACCAGAAATGAAAAAAGAGCACAAATTAAAATTAAAAATATACTTATAATCGATTTTAGAAGATCTTATAAATGAAAAAGATCAAAAAATAAATGTTATTGACCAAAGTATAAAAAATCAAAAAGGAATCAGAAGTCAATCAAAGTGGTGTAAAAAATGTAATACAATCAACATTGATAATAAAAAATGTACATGTCTTAAATGTAATGAGAAATTAAAAATATTAGCTACTTTACATGCAGAATCTGCTGAGGAACTTGAATGATTTAATAACACGGCCTCTCAATCAAAATCTTTTGTAATAAAGTCCTATTCATATACTTACAAATCAAAAAGCCCTTATTTCGAATGTATTAGTATTACCCAATGCTCAGAATCTGATAATAATGTGATTGTTTCAGAAATGTATATACTGGATCTATTAGAATTTAACCCTAATTCGATAGATAATATTAAAAAAGTTTTAAAGTACATACAGAAGATTACAGAAATAGATCAAGGAACATGAAAATGGCTACCAGTTACTTGCAATAGCATTCTTTATAATCTAGCACTAAAAGTTAGAAAAAACTTTCTGTGGCTTGTACTAATTTCTGGTGCCCTGCATGAAAAAATGAATATGCTTAAGGCATTCATAGAACTAAACTGGTATTATTGTTTTTTGATTATTTCTTTTTATTGTTATATAAAATTAATTCTAAATTTTATTTATACTAACATGTTCCTCTAAGGATAATCAATATCAAGCAATTTGCTATTCTTCAAGCATGCAAGACTAAAAATCAACTTGGATATTTTAAAAAATGCATCAACTATCACAAATCGTGGGACTCTATTTGCAATATCTATCGGCATGCTATTGTATGTGAATTATTGTGGCTATACGTAGTCACGACTAAAAATCTATCTGTTGATAGCTATCTAGATTGGGCAAAAAAACAAAATGATTATATATATAAACTAAAATTTGAACAAGTAAGATTTTAATAAAAAATAAATATATATATTGTATAAAAATTTAACCAATGATTATTATAGATATTTATCTACCTTCAGACAATTATTAATTTTTGTACGGGGGTTAGAAACAATCAACCATCATTGATTAATACTGCTCGATGAATGTTTGCTCCAATATAGTCTGGTCATAGACATCCTATATACTGCTTAATTGAGGTAACATATGAAGAGCAATTGATGCGATTAAATCCTGAAGTTAGACGATGTATAGAATCATACTCAGTAATTTCACAATCAGGATATTATAACCAACATTAAGGCCTTGATGCTATTCTCGAAAAAGTTAATAAATCTTTGAAAGCCCTAATTCTACCTGTACCTTCACAAAAACATTGGAGAATAGCAGTACAGAATTGCACAAAGTTTATAAAGGTTAGTGAAACATGGTTTAAAACTATTCATTTAAATAAAAAAAAATTAACAATACAAATATTTTACAAAAATTTTTAATATATATCTTGAAATTTTAACTAGCTGCATCACATATTATTTAATATGATCGGGCATACTGATAATGAATTATCAGGAGGTAGGTCATGTCCAGGCTGCACTATAGAGTCACAACGATTTTGAGTTTAATTACGAAAAACTAGATTTTTGAATCCTCAAAGTGATGATTGCACATTTAAAAACCTTGGAAGAGTCTCTACTTAGCAAACAGCTAAAAAATTTTAGTAATTTAGCATATGAAAGACGAATAATGTTTATTAATGAAACATTCAAACAAAGCAAGTCAAATCACTTACTCCGGCCAATACCTATTACTGCTCAAGAAGAAGCTGCTGCTATGGATGAAAAAATATGTTGAAAGAAGAACTTTTAAAAATTATCAATTCATTGCTAAATTCGGTTAATATTTCTGATAGTTTGAAGTACCATGGATTAAGGCAAAAAAACCGTACCAAATTACAAGAGATCTTACAAAGTATTAGAGACCTTCATAATGAGCAAGATAGACTTGAAAATAAAATAGAACTAGAAAACTAAATGAATTTATAAAATAATAATTTTTGTCAATTTTTATTGTAATAGTCAAAAATTACTAGCAATATATATTTTTTTATCTTTATTAGAATTAAAATCATCTTTGGCAGCTCTTACTAATTTAATAGTGTCATATTTGAATTTGGCATCTGTTTGAAGTTGCAACTTCTGGTGCTTGAAGTTGTATTGACTGAAAATTAGCACCCGAAACTGGATATGTATCATTTCATCGACGATTACTTCACCGAGTACCCTATCACACGGTGTAAGGAATAATATTGAACAATAATTATTAATCATCAAACAATCATTAAATATTAATCATTATGCTGTGTAATAGGGTGTTCGGTGAAACGATTGTTAATAAAATGATACATACCCCAAAACTAGATCTTATTGCATATATTATTTAGCAATTTTTGGCAGGTTTAACTTCAGACACTTGAAGTTATAACTTCTAACTCTATGCACATGCTAACTTCAAGCATGACAATTATTATCATTAAAAGTTATCTTGTTCGATGGCAATTCACTTCTAAAGGTTTTAAATATCGATCAAATATATTTTTTCGTATAGCCCCATAACTATTAAGTCATATTCAATTAAAAATTTAACACACAATTACTCAATTCAAATGCTTTTTACTTGACACCCACATGTCTATATATTCTTATCTCAATATTTGAGATTGGATCAACCAAATGTTTTTTTATTAATATGCTTAAATATATCTTATTTGAAGCTAAAATAGACATGTTCAAAACTTTTTAGTTTAAAACAATACGTTTTTTAAAATAAGCTCATACAACGTTTAGCTATCCAAAGGGCTCCAAGCTCTCAATGTGAGAGACAGCAAAGGAGGTTCGCTATAATGAAAAAACAGTACAAGAATAGGCAAAAAGATGGCAAAAAAGTAAAGACCTAAGTGACAAACCAAGATCAGGTTATAAAAGAGCTACTATACAAAGACAAAACAACCAGATTTTGAAGCTAGCAAAAGAGAATATAGATATCTCAGTACTAAAAATCTGCTGTGAGCTTTTAAAACAGAACATAGATATTCATATACATACCATTCAACAGTGCCTTGATAAAGATAGGGTTCATTATTACAGAAAACTCACAAAGCCTTTGCTCAGAGAGAAGTATCAGAAAAAACAGTTCTCATGGATGAAGAAATATAAGGATTTTGACTGAAATTCTGTGATATTTACTGATAAAAGCACTTTCTGCTTGAATCAGTAGTTAAAAAAAGCATAGCAGTTCATCAGAGCAAGAAAAATAATCTGTTCTATTAAGCATTCGTTAAAAGTTTATATATGGGGGTGTTTTTCTTCATTCAGTTTTAAAAGGTTGGTCTGCTTTATGTATAATCTTAATATACAATATATAATTACTCTGTATGAAATAGCCCTTTTACTTTTTGCTATGGACCTTTTTTGGTGAAGGTTGTGATAGTTAGATTCTGCAGGAAGACAATAACCTGAAGCACCGTTCAAAAATTGCAAAAGTATAGAAGAAAGAAAATGAAGTCGAAGTTCTCCCCTAGTCATCAATATTATCTAATCAAAACCTGATTGAGAATCTTTGGAAATTTATGAAAATGAATATTGCAAAAAATAATTAGAAAACTTAGTAGTTTAAAGAGTGAAATAAGAAAAGAATAGAATCAATCATCTAAGGAATATGTGGCTAATTTGGTGAGAAGTATGAGATGTTATGTGAAGACCCTAATTAAAGCAGAGGGTAATTATACAATGCATTGATTTTTATATATTTTAATATACTTATAAATAAAAAAAATTTATCTCTACCATATCTCTGTGCCGAGTTATGAGTATGGGAAATTTTTGTCAAGTACTGTATATAAATTCTTATCTCTTAATAATCATGCTATATCATTTTTAGATCACATACTTGTATAATTAGCAAGTTATTTAATCTTACTTTTAGGGTTTTGATAAATGATGTAAGTGTCTGTATTTCTGTATAAATATTTCAATAACTATTATTCTAACTTTGATAATAGTTTACTATTTTATAGAAAATCTTTCTCTATCTACTATATAAATTTTATACAATTTTAAACAATAATCAATTAAAAAATTAACAAAAACTAAAATTTTATAGTCTAAATATTTAAA